ACAGACAGACAGACAGACAGACAGACAGACAGACAGACAGACAGACAGACAGACAAAGAGACAAAGAGACAAAGAGAGAGAAAGAGATGGGGGAGGGGGTACAGAAAGGGGGAAGGGGAATCAAGAGACAAAGAGAAAGACATATAGAAAAACATACAGACAGAGAGACAGCGAGAGTGGTAGACAGACCACGGAGACACACAGACAGACGCGAAAAACTAGTAGACCTGAGCTCTAAAACAACTCGGGCGGGAAGGCTGGCAGCATTGACCAGCCACCCAGCTCTCGGCGCCGAGAGAGAACAAACTTACATGGAAGTCCCAGATTTGCTCCGTTTGGCCGCGGAGGTTGGAGCGGAGGAGTCTTCGTCCTGCTCGGCCCGCCTCTTGGCGTTGCTGGAGTCTGCTTTGCTCATGGCACGTTTGGTCGCTGCTGCACCGGCCGGGCCGGCGGGAGCGGGCTCGGGGTTAAAGTCCTGCAGGCTTCTCGCCGCTCCGGACGCCGACTTGTTGCCTGATTTGGCCTGGAAAGGAAGACTAGAGGGTGTGGCCTCGCGGTCGCCCGACGACGTCGACGACGACAACGAGGATGATGTCGTGGTGGTTGACGTGGACGACGAGGAGGCAGCGGCGCTGCTGGAGTGAGACGATGGTGGCTGGAGTGAAGCGTCTTTGCTGGAGGCGTGCGCTGAGGAATTGGACTTGGCCATTTTGTGTGACTTCGAGTGTGCGTGTGAGGACGATGAAGATGAGGAAGAGGCGGGCGCTGATGAGGATGAGGATGACGGGGCACCAGCGGACGAGCCCGTGTGGGGTTCCACTGGCTCCTGAGCTTTCCGCTTGCCTGAGCGCGGCCCGCTGGATGAGGTGGAATGAGAAGATGAGGAGGGTGCGGATGAGGAGGACGACGATGAGGTAAACGTCCGTAAAGGCGAGGAGCCTTCATTGTTTTTAATGCTACTGGAACCGAGAGGAGGAGATCTGACTGCAGAGATGGGCGGCACGCGGCCCTCTTTGTGCTCGCTAGGTTTGACGTCTTCAGCAACAACCTTTTGAGACTCTGGGTCTGACGACACGGCGTTGCGGGAAGACGAGGAGGAGCCACCCAGCCTTCGCTTGTCCCTCTTCTCCTTCATTCTGTCCAGGAGCTTCTTAGAGAGGTGTTGGTGCATAATCCGTGTGAGAATCCGGGGCCTGCTTGAGCCGTCCTCCTGATGCAGGAGGGTGACGATCGGAGGCACCTCGGCCGAGGTGGAAGAAGGCGGGGGAGCGGGCGTGGAGGCTGACGGGTGGGGCGCTGGAGAGAAGGAGGTCTGGAATGAAGGGAGCGGTTTTGTGGAGGCGCCCGGGGGCGGGGAGCAGGCCGAGTGGAGGGGCGACAGCAGGTTGGGCGGCCGCGAGATGGACTCGAGGTCAACATTACTCCCCAGCTTTTTGGCAACTTTGGTGGAGGAGGAGGAGGAGGAGGAGGAGGAGGTGGTAGTGGTGGTAGTGGAGGGGCTGGGGGCGGCCGCAGCACCTTTGCTAGAACAGGAAGTGGAAGGGGGTGGGGGTCCACTGGAGTTTGGAGAGGTCTTTTTTCTTCGTGCTTCTGCTTCAAAAGAAGCACTATGCTTCTTGGAAAGCGGAGGCACGTTTTTGCCTCGCTGAGTGGTGGGCGTCTTGGAGTCCTGTTCTGCTTCGTTCGCCGAGCCCTCATCTCCACTGTCAGAGAGGTTCCCGTTGAAGAGAGGCTTTGCAGCCTCCTGCTGGTTCTTGCTGGATGAGCTCTTGCGAGGGCTGGCCTGCACCTGCCGGATCTTTTCGTCAGGCGTGAGACTGACCACGTCAATTTCGCCCTCAGAGCTCAGCTCTGGAGATCGCTTGTCCGGCGGGGATTTGCCCTTCTCTGGGTGAGAGCTGGAGCGTTTCCGCTTTGCCTCAGAGTTCTTTCGCGATACTTCCTTAGATTGAGAGTCTCTCTCTCTCTTCACCGACAACACACTGGGCTTGTGTTTCGAGTCTTTCACAGACGGTTTCTTACTGTCCACATTCCCTGAAATACTAGAAGTGCTCTTCCTGCTGGAGGAATCCTTTGCCACACTAGACACAGACGACTTCGACGGAAAGGAAGATTCCACATCTTTTTTCTGCACAGCTGAAGGCTTCTCGACAAACACTTCCATATCATTATTCCCATCACTATCCCCGTCTTTCTCGTCACCAACACCGAAGCCACAGTCATCATCATCATCGTCGACATCATCATTCACGGTTTTATTGACCTCAAACGACATCGTATCACAAGGGCCAATGTCTTTGAGGGTACGGGGCCGGCCCGCGTTGCTCCCCTCCGGCGACTTAAGATCCCCTAAGCTGTCGTCGCGCTGACCTTGCGCAGAGACAGATGGCGAGGCAGACATCACAGAGGCCGGTGACGTCAGTTTGGCAGGACTGGTGCCGTTCATGGCGGGAGAATTTGAGTTCTTCTTGGACGGCTGTATGAAGTTTGCCAGTCTCCATTTTCTGATGGGCTCAGGATTCTGCATGTTTGTTATGGGGTAGGTGGGGTGCCCGGGAGAAGAGAAGAGAATTAGGGGTAAATGTTAATGACGAGGAAAAATAAGTCACAATGTACTTGCATGCGTCCTGCAGCAGTGGAAACTGGAGTGCGTGCGTGTGAGTGTGTGTGTGTGTGTGAGTGAGTGAGTGAGTGTGTGTGAGAGAGTGTGTGAGAGAGTGTGTGTGTGTGTGTGTGTGTGTGTGTGTGTGTGTGTGTG